GAATGGTACTTTAAATTGATCACGATCTTTTTCATGATCTGCGTTTGTTAATTAACAAATACTTATGCATTCTACCAGTTGTATGGCAATATCTGACTAGATGATAACATTGAAGATACGTGTATTAAAAGTTTGGTGCATCTTTCGAAAAAAAATCAGCAGCTTATTGTCCGACTCGGACAGAGAATTCATTATAAAATCGAATGACTAAATAGTCCGGTAAAACGAGTTAGAGTTAACAATTTATTTAAATGCTTTTACAATCAACCATTCGTATTGCCGGTCCATATAGAAACGACTTCGAATTATCTAATCTATATACAAGATGTTTTTTTTTTTGTAAAATAAATAAAAACGTAATACATGTACTTGAAAATGTGTACTTTTTTTATAACAGCAGTTCCAACTTCTCATCTACTAGTATACGGAAACTATTGATTGTTTGAATGGTTATTAATGTCCGGTAACAAATATTACATGACACCAGAACGAGAATCCGTTGACGTGATGTGAAAATGAACTATTCGTGTTGTCAAGACCTACATACTTAGTAAATTTTGACCTAGTTCACAAGGTAACAGTCATTATTCCCGGATCAATACGAGTTGAAGAGTCTTCGTTCTAGTAAGTTTTTTTGTTAACCCTAAAGGGATTATGCTTTTTTTCCCACTCAAGGCGAGTATACGTTATGGTGGTGGTACCGACAACTATGTAGCTAGTATTTTCTAAACAATGCCCGTTATACAAAAAGTTCCGATAAGTTTACACCAGTTGTATGTATACATGTCTTACAGGATAAAAATTTCGCTGCATGTGTATTCCTCTTGCTTTTATTCTTGAGGTAGTTTTTAAAATGCATACATAGAAAGACCAATTCCTATATGTTAACTTTGTCCCTCTCTCTCTCTCTCTCTCTTGTTTTTTTTTTTTTTTTTTTTTTGATGAAAACGACGTGGATGCACGTGCTGTCGTGCCTCCGGGTAGCTACGCCCCTGACAAGTAAACATTATTAGCAAGGAAAGTGAACAAAAACAACACCACAAGATGAGAATATACATTTTTTTTTCACTTTGTTAATATAAACTTGTTCAAAAGAAGTTAACAAGTACACTTTTAGAAAGTTGGAAAGTAAAGAAAATAATCCACTTGTAAAAAAAATGAAGTATACAAGGTTTTTTCCACGGCAACTATCAGACTAGTTGTATGTTACAAGTGAACAAAGACCATGTACACAAGGCGAGTCTTTACTTTTTGTTCACTTTGTCAAAGTAAACTTGTTCAGAAGAAGTTAACAAGTGCACTTTCGGAAAGTCGGAAAGATTTGAAAATAACTAAACAAGAACCCAAAATTAAGTTCACAAGGTTTGTTATAATGCAACTTTACTACTTATTTTTGTCAACAAGTTGAGCTGAGAACTGATCAACTCGTGACTATTATAAGCTTCCATAAATACATGCTGAAGACTAAAAAACATAGAATAGCTCAGCCAACACAATGATACATGCTTACATGTGAGTGACAATTTTAAAGTGTTTTTGTTGTATCGTTTAGTTGCTGTCTCATTGATGTGGGGTATTCATAAAACACATTAGCCCACATACAATGGTACATGCTAACATGGAAGTGAAAAAAGTGTTTGTTACAAGTATCGTTTAGTTGTTGTGTAAATGACGTGGGGGTATTCATAGAACAGCTCAGCCAACATACAATGATTCATACTTACATGTAAGTGAATGTTGTATCGTTTAATTGCTGTCTCGTTGACCTAGAGGTATTGATAGAACAGCTAAGCTCACACACAATGATACATGCTAACATATAAGTGACAATTTTAAAGTGTTTGTTGAATAGTTTAGTTGCTGTCTTATTAACATGGGACATTTATAGAACAACTTACTGATCACACAAACAAATATTCTTATACGGAAGTGACAAAAGTTCATGTTGTGTCGTTTGTTTGCTGTCTCTGTTACATGGGGTATTTATAGAACAGCTCAGCCCCCACACAATGGTACATGCTAACACAGAAGTGACAAGAGTTCATGTTGTGTCGTATATTTGCTGTCTCATTTACTTGGGGTATTTATAGAACAGCTCAGCCCCCACACAATGTTACATGCTAACAGAGGTGACAAGAGTTCATGTTGCGTCGTTTATTTGCTGTCTCATTTACATGGGGTATTTATAGAACAGCTCAGCCCCCACACAATGGTACATGCTAACACAGAAGTGACAAGAGTTCATGTTGTGTCGTTTATTTGCTGTCTCATTTACATGGGGTATTTATAGAACAGCTCAGCCCCCACACAATGTTACATGCTAACACAGAAGTGACAAGAGTTCATGTTGTGTCGTTTATTTGCTGTCTCATTTACATGGGGTATTTATAGAACAGCTCAGCCCCACACAATGTTACATGCTAACACAGAAGTGACAAGAGTTCATGTTGTGTCGTTTATTTGCTGTCTCATTTACATGGGGTATTTATAGAACAGCTCAGCCCCCACACAATGATACATGCTAACACAGAAGTGTCAAGAGTTCATGTTGTATCGTTTATTTGCTGTCTCATTTACATGGGGTATTTATAGTACAGCTCAGCCCCCACACAATGTTACATGCTAACACAGAAGTGACAAGAGCTCATTTTGTGTCGTTTATTTGCTGTCTCATTTACATGGGGTATTTATAGAACAGCTCAGCCCCCACACAATGGTACATGCTAACACAGAAGTGACAAGAGTTCATGTTGTGTCGTTTATTTGCTGTCTCATTTACATGGGGTATTTATAGAACAGCTCCGCCCCCACACAATTATACATGCTAACACAGAAGTGACAAGAGTTCATGTTGTGTCGTTGTGTTGCTATCTCATTGACTTTGTTATTCACAGAACAGCTTAGCCCACACACAATGACACATGCTATAAAAGTGACAAGAGTACATGTTGTATCGTTTATTTGCTGTCTTGTTGATGTGGGATATTCATTGAACAGCTTAGCCCACACACAACGACACATGCTAACATGAAGGTGACAAAAGTGCATGTTGTTTCGATTAGTTGTTGTCTCATTGACGTGGGATATTCATAGAACAGCTTAGTCCACACACAATATGGTACATGTTAAAATGAAATTGCCAAATTGCATCTTGTATCGATTAGTTGACGAAGGGTTATTTATAGATCAGCTTGGCCCATACAGAATGACACGTGCTAACATGAAAGTGACAAAAGTTAAAGTTGTGGTGTTTGGTTGCCGTGGGGTGTTTATAGAACAGTTTAGCCCACACACTTTGACACATGCTAACATGGAAGTGACAAAAGTTCCAGTTTGTGTCGTTTAGTTGCTGTCTCATTGATGTGGGGTATTTATAGAACAGCTTATCCCACACACTATGACACATGATAACATTAAAGTGATAAAAGTGAGTGTTGTATTGTTAAGTTGCTGTCTAATTGATTGAACAGCTTCGCCCACACACAATGGTATATGCTAACATGAAATTGACAAAAGTGCATCTTGTATCGATAAGTTGCTGTCTTATTGACATGGAGTATTTATAGAACAGCTTAGCCCATCATTCTAACATTGAATTGAAAAGGCCATGTTGTGTTGTTTAGTTGATTTGATTGACTTGGGGTATTTAAAGAACAGCTTATAGCCAGCACACTATGATACATGCTAACATAGAAGTGACATTAGTTCATGTTGTGTCGTTTAGTTGCTGTCTCATTGACTCAGTGTATTTAAAGAACAGCGTGGCCAACACACTATGATACATGTTAACATGGAAGTGACGAAAGTTCATGTTGTGTCGGTTAGTTGCTGTCTCATTGACTCGGGGTATTAAAAGAACAGCTTGGCCAACACACTATGACACATGCTAACATGGAAGTGACGAAAGTTCAAGTGTGGTTTAGTTGCTGTGTCATTGACGTGGGGGTATTCATAGAATAGCTCAGCCAACACACAATGATACATGCTTACATGCAAGTGACAATTTTAAAGTGTTTGTTGTATCGTTTAGTTGCTGTCTTATTAACGTGGGATATTTATAGAACAACTTACCAATCACAAAAAGAAACTTGTGTCGTTTAGTTGCTGTCTCATTGGCGTGGGGTATTTATAGAACAGTTTTGTAGCCCACACAGAATTATACAATGTCATCCTAACATATCAGTACCTTGCAGTTTGAGGTGTTATTGACATCTGCGAATATGGTAAAATAAAACGGACATGTTTAACATTTCACAGCGGTATAACATGTTACTTTAATTAATCTTCCCTTAGTTTATTTATTTTGTATTTACATTGTACCATAGATCAAATTTATTTGTACAGTGTATGTTCACTGGTGTTAATATGTCTTTTGATTGAGTTAAGTCATTTCAATTGATATTTTATAGTGTGTCTTTCTATGTTGTGATTTTACACTGTTGTTTCAGATAAGGGTGAAAGTTTGGTACCATTAAAACGTTTAAACCCGCTGCAATTGTTTGCACCTGTCCCAAGTCAGGAGTCTGATGTTCAGTAATTGTCGTTTGTTGATGTGGTTCATAATTGTTTCTCGTTTCTCGTTTTTTATATAGATTAGACCGTTGGTTTTCCACTAGTAATTTTTGGGGCCCTTTATAGCTTGCTGTTCGGTGTGAGCCAAGTCTCCGTGTTGAAGACCGTACTTTGACCTATAATGGTTTACTTTTATAAATTTTGACTTGAATGGAGAATTGTCTCATTGGCACTCATACATAGTCTTTAATTTTCTATGTTGTGTCATCTGTACTATTATTTGTCTGTTTGTCTTTTTATTTTTGGCCATGGCGTTGTCAGTTTATTTTCGATCTATGCGTTTGACTGTCCCTCTGGTATCTTTCGTACCTCTTTCATACCACATCTTCTTATATCTATATACATCATTTTATTGTATTTCATATTTGATAAACTATTGATTTATAAAAATATTGGTTTCCTTTATTGGTAACAACATGTAGCATACAGTAGTTGTCTTTAATTCCTTATTTCATATTGAGAAAGTGAAATGTAAAGTCATTTTCGATACAAGGTTTTAATAATTTTCTTAATTATTTAAGGATGCACACATCATGTGATTCCCATATATATATATATATATCTGTTTTAAGAATACAAAGAAATATAATAATATCTACCGATTCCATTCAAAAGTAAAATTGTATTCTAATAACATAGTTTGAGCCCCATGGCCTATTATTGTTTTGTCTTGCAGACATAGTTGAATTTCGTTTCACATGGTTTGTTGTCAAGTAATCCGTTTTCTTTAAAGATTGTTATGCAATCTCCATCCGCAGTTGGTTGACCATTTTGAAGCCATCGATAATCTTCGAAAGCTGGTTTGCCAGTGCCCCAACCCCATTTGCCGTTCTGTAATTTTCCAATTGTCCAGATATTAAAGGTTGATAACTGTAATTTAAGAAAAGTATGCATCATTCAGGAAGCTGGAAAAAGTTAACCAGCGTGGAGTTTGTATAGTTATACACCCAATTGTAATTTTACAGTTGTATCCTTTTTGCCTTCCAAAAGTAATAACTGTACCAGCCGGGATTCGAACCTTGGACCATAGGAACAGTAATCCACCTCTCTTCCAATTGAGGCAAAGGAGTACTAGTTTAGCTAATGGAGGGCTGTTATCTATCTACTAGATAAGGGGAAGCACCGCCACACTCCCCTATCCCAAGAGGTTTTTACTATATAATGACGATATCTACATCACGTACACTGGTTAGGTATTTCTCTAACCTTGGTTTTTTTGGTTAGGAGCCATTTTTTCAACAGGAGGGCGTGAATTGCCTTCCAAAATTAATTACTGTTTCAGTCGGATTTCGAACCCTTGATCCCTGGCTTAATAAGAGCCGCTCTATCAACTAAGCTACATGTAAATGTGTACTCTGTCTCACTAGTACAACTTATGGAGGGCGCTTATATCTAGGTAAGAGGAAACATCGTACATTTTCCCATCTCAAGAGTCATTATACTATAAATAAGATATTTACATCACTTACCCTGATTATGTATTTTCTCTAAAAGAGAGACAAAAGATGCCAAAGAGAAATTCATACTTAAATTAAAAAGACGAAAACAAGCCGACAACGCCATGGCAAAAAACGAAGAACGACCAAAAGACAAACAACAGTATACAAAACACAACATAAAAAATAAAGACTGAGCAACACGAACTTCACTAATAACCGGGGATGATTTCAGGTGCCCCTAAAGGGTAAGTAGATCTAACAGTGGGTTTTCAGTTGGGGGTGCCAATTTTTCAACAGGAGAGCAAAATAACTCGATTGAAATTATAGCAAATTTCTGTCAGATAAAAACAGTTGTGTTTGCATCATCAGAAAAAAAGAAAAAGCTTCACAATAAAAGTTATAACAAAATAAACAACGACTTTAAGTTTTGCTTCTATTGGTACCAAGTTGATAAAAATCCAACTAAAAATTACCTCACAATAATTTCTTTATCTTTATTTAGGAAAAATAAGTTTTATACATGTATATGAATATATTGCAAAAATTACAGAAAGTAACTAATGCCTATTGTATAGTTGAGAAACTGTATTCACGGCTGTCAATCGGTATATCGAGAAAAATTATCGTGAAAGAATAAGTAACGGTGGTCAAGTATTGCGACTGGATCGTGAAATATCTGGTATAGGATCGTGAAGGAAATCTTATCGAGAAGAACAACACATACAACGTCTGATAGTAAATAATCTAATTTAATCAATTATAATGACAAATATTGGAAAAATAAAACTGTCTGTCAAAAGGGTTCATCAACATTATGATCAGTATCTGAGAAAAATCAAGGCTTAAAAGTACACCGTTTTAACAAAGCTACAAAAGGCAAATTGCTCTTCGAAATAAAAATGTAAACACACATGATTTTTTTTTCACATTTTTAAAGCATAAACTACTTTTCTCTTAACACTTTCGCTACTGAATTAATATTTTTCACGGATTTTTTAAGCCGAAATAAATTATCACGAGACGATTGCCTGACCGGAATTAATTTGACAGATGCCCCGCAAAAATGACTATCGTATTTTTGATCGATATATATCGCTCATATCTCTGGAACGGATTGAAATTTCGCTTAAAAAAATTGAGATCCGTAGTCTTTGTCATGACTTATTTATTTATGAAAAATCGTAGTTCCGTAGTTTTTGTTATTTTTCTGAAATAATTGATGTTATCTGTCTCTCAACGAGAGTTTTGTCAGTGAAAATTGTCCATTCAATTTCGATCTCGTTTTCGCGTTTATTTATCTATTCTATCCTATGGATGTTTACTAGAGTGAACCTACGTATCGTCGGAACAGATTCGTTACAAATTTAATTCTGTTGCAGTTGTTATTCAAACAATATGATTTAAAATTGTCCGACGGTCTCGAAGGTTAATGACCGCCATTTTGTACACAACAAGACATATTGAAGGGAGACAACACCATCTGTTATTTTAAAATGTACATTTGCAACGCTGGTGTTGTCTTTCTTTTACCCAAGTATGAGCATACTGAAATTCACTATTAGTGATCAAAAATAATTTTCTAACATTTCAGACTCATTAAAAAGAGTTTAATAACAACATTAAACCAAGACTTACAGAATTTTCAGTCTGGTTTTTTAAGTTCATCTGAGATCTGGTCTGCCTGAGTGTCAACAGCTACTGTCCTTCATTAAAGTTCATTTATAGGAAAAATTACAATGTATTTAATGTTTTTACTCATCCAATTTTCTTTAAAAAGGTTTTTGAAACAAAACTGTCAACTATAGTCATTAACATGGAACAAACAAACGTCAAAACAGAACAACAAATAAACTGGTCTCCATTTGCAATTTTAACAATTCCTCTCAGTGTGGTATTTTGTGAAACACTCAGGCAGGCACAGATGTTTCCCACAATCAAAACACCAAAACTTTGTCTGCTTGATAGGCACCTCTCGACTATTTTGGCTTCTCATATAACAAAGATGGCATCTAGATATTTTGTCAAAGGAGGAAAGCATGTGTCGCTGAACAAGGCGGTTCTCCATAGGCATGAACTTTCCATTCTAGGATATGATTTTTTTCAAAACTTCATAGTAAAAGTGGTACAGTTTTAGCCTTAAAAGGAGTTCCTATGGGAAATTGCATTGTCAATATTTACAGAAATGCAACCTTCTGTCTGAACCTCATGTCTCCACGCTCATTGATACCAGTTGTTTTTTTACACATAATTTCTTTCGGTAGTCCTCTACGATTACATCTAACTGTGCCACAAGCATATGTATCGAAATTTTCGTACAGACTAGAAAACAACTCGGGACTTGTAAAGAAATTATCAGTGTAAAGATGGTACCCTTTACCAACTAAATCTGACTGTTGCAAGCATCTTTTTACTACACTACTCAGTACCAAGATGTAACTGTGGGGTTGCATTTCTTCCAGGATATATGTCAACGTATTGTATATAAATGTGTTGGGAATCTGCCAAAACCCAAGCTTTTACACCCTATTTGTGTGGCTTTTGAGGCATATATTGCTTAAACTGTTCCCTCCGTTTAAATGGTATCATTGTTTCATCAACAGGTATGTTTCTATGTGGAGTATATCCCTGTTGAAAGGCTAGCTGTATTAAAATGAGTGAGAAGAGGTTTGACTTTGTACAACAGGTCATAATTTTGATCTCCAGGCAGAGGTTGCTGTGTTGAGTCAGAAAAATGGAGATACCTCATAATCTGTGTAAAGCGATCCCGGCTCATGGTTTTTGCATATATAGGTGATTGTAAAAAAACTGTCTGTGGACCAATACATCCTTGTATATGGTTTCCTGTCTATGCCCATTTCAAAACAAAGACCAAAGAAGGCATTCATCTCCTGTATAGACAGTCTAACCCATGCCATTTTGTTTTCATCAGGTTTGTTTTCTTTCTGTAATAATTATTTGGCATATGAATTAGTTTGCTCTATTAACATCTCCAACAGAACATGATTACAAAACAGTTTGAAGAAATCAAGAGGGGTTTTATCCTGAGGCATGATCCTTGTAGGGCCAGTTCTCCCAGTGGGGTGAAAAGATGAGGCAGCCCACGCTCAAAGTAAAGAAAGTCCTCATGCCAGCCATCAATGTTTTCTGCATCACCAGCAGGTCCAGGTACATCTGTCAGATTCCCCATCACTTTCAAGATCATCCGAATCATCACCAATACCCTGAAGTAGTAGTTGTTGCTGAAATCTTGCTTCAGCTTTGTCTAATTCTGCTCGGGTAAAACCTTTAAACTCATCTGATTCATCAGACGACATTTTTTTGTGAGTGAAATACTACGAGGAGACGCGACTTATCTTCTATCACTTTTTAAAGTACAAATTATCCCACAAAGATGACTAATGTTACAATAAATTAACACATTTTTTATTAAGTATCTACGAAAAATAATTTTAATCTTTATATAAATCGAATCAAGTGAAAAAATGAACTTATACCGGATAGTATAATTTTTGTCGCCGAGGTTCCGCCATGTTGTTTTCATATTTTCCATAACAACATCTATTTCCGGCTTTCTATTTTTAGCGTTGGTTTTATCCCTCTTTAAAGTTCATCATAACAAAATGGACAAAAATGGCTGTATTTACACCCCAAAAACTACTCTTGAGTACAGACTAACATGTGCAGTTGGAAAGGTTGTAAGGCCTGGCATCCACTAGATATATAAAAGTTAAATGCATTTTGTTTTTCAGAAAGATAAAATCTTTTTTGGATTTTGATGGGCATTTTTTTTCGTTCTTGCAGAAGGTGTAAAAATAAACAAACACCTCAATTGTTTTTGACACTGTCCACTCAGTTACACCCTCTAACTCACCTATAGTTGTGTAGATATCTATTGTCTGTCTATTGTCCATGCCAATCAAGGACAATCCATACAATTCAATAGTTTTTACCTGAGAGGGAGCATCTCAAAGTTGTATCCAAACTTAGTTGATTCTTACACCTTCTGCAGGAACGAAAAAAAAAATGGTCATCATAATCAAAAAAAGATTTTATCATTCTGAAAAACAAAATGCATTTAAATTTTATATATCTAGTGGATGCCAGGCCTTAATACTTTTCCAACTGCACAGGTTAGTCTGTACTCAGAGTAATTTTTGAGGTCTAAAACACAGCCATTTTTGTCAATTTGTTATGATGAACCTTAAATAAAAACTGCAGATGACGACACTAACGAAAAAAAATAAAATGATCTTTAGAATCACAGGAATTTAATGACATATACATGTAACACGATACCGGAAACTTATTTATTCATTTAATTTCAGTCGATCAAAAAAGCGATATAAAAATGTTATTTTGCGAAGAATGAGAGCACCTGCAAGACACCACGAGGCCTGATTCCTAATCTAAAACACTACACAAACGATTGAA